AAGAGGCCTGGCCTCCCTGTCCCAAGAGCTGGACCCAGGGCTCATGCAAGTTATTCTCATGGGGAGTCAGAAAGCAGTCCAGTCAGATACAAGGAAGGACTTCCACAGGGTCAGAGAGACAGCTGCTCCCAGTGCTGGGCAGGCCCTCAGTGATCCCAAGCCCTTGGTTCTTCCCAGTCCACTCCAGCCCACCCCTTGGGGTAGGGGGGTAGGAGGTTTCTGGGGTGGGTATGGGGGCCAGAAGGGGGCCCAGAAGCACGAGGTACTCTCCCTGACAGCTGGTCCCATCCTCAGCTCTCTGTCCAGGCATTGTCTGCCTTCCACAGCCCACTGCCCACTGAGGTCTGGCGTATGCCAGGCTGGGCACTTCTGCTGGGGCGGGAGGGGGGACTGGGCGGACCCTCACCTTCCAGGAGCTCTGAAACCTGGCTCTTCTGTTGCTCAAATCTCCCCACCCTTCCACCCAATCTGCAGCTAGGGCAAGGAGCGGGGCACTCTGATCTCCCTGGGCCATCTGAGCGGCAAGCAGAGTTGAGGCCAGTCACCCCAAAGAATGAAGGCCGGGGTGCAGTGAGTGGGCCTGGTCCCCTTTCTGTGGAAAGCATCCCAGGGACCTTCTGGTGGTGGTGGTGGGGAGGGGACACCAGCTCTTCCTCAGTTCACTACACAAAGTGCCAACCCCAAGGGGCTTTCCCAGCCCTGGCCATGCCCCAGTACAGCCTGGGGACCATAACGTGGGGAGAGGGCTTTGTTTGGTTCTTTCCTGCAAGATGGAGCCAGAAAGGAAAGCCCTCATGGGAGGGCACCCTAAGCCCCATCCTTCCGAGCCCTGGCTCCTGTTGGGTGGGGGCTTTTCTGTGCATTCGGACTCCCCCAATCTGTACAGATGCCACGCTACGCTTCTCACTCCCACCCCCAGCCGGGGCACCTCCCTCCCCCGACCTCCACCGCTTCCTGCTGCAAAGTCAGCCCTGCAGCAGCCTGGCCCCGCCCGCCCGCCAGCCCATCAGGCACCTGCGGGCTCCCCTTTGTCTGTTGGGCCAGCAAAGCTGTGCTCCGAGTGATGCTTGAGCGCAGCCTGGCACGTGGCTGGGGGCGCCCCAGTCTCCCTGCCTTGAACCCAGAGCCTGAGCAGCAGTCCCCCCTCCTCTCTGGGCTGCCGAGGGCTAGCCAGGTGGCTGGGGGCTCGTGCCCTGGGCCAGGAAGGAGGGCACTTTTCCATAGTCGGCTCTGACCCTGTCTAGGTGACCTCCTTGGGCTCCTGGAATATGGGTCACCTGCCACCTGCCTCAGAGGACCCACCCTAGACCTGGCCCCCAGGCCCCCACTCACCACACAGGGCTGGGCAGGGATGGACGTTCCTCCCCACCATCCCTGCCTTGGGGCCAGCAGTCCCGGACTGGCACTCCCCCACCCACAGGCCCCTCTCAAAGGGGCAAACCCAAAGCAAGAACAGGGAGCGGGGGTGCGGTGTAACGGGGTCTCCACCCAACAAAAGGCTGGGATGGCTCAACTTTGCAGTGTCCCTGCCCTGCAGCCCTGCACCCCTCCCCGGCGTAGCCATGTCCTCTCCCCACCTCAAAGGTCAGGACACATCACTTGGCACCCCAGATGCAGGGCTGCCTGATCCATTTTAGCTGACAGCCGGAGCCAGGAGCCCCAGGCACACCCTCCTGGCCTCTCCGAGGTGCAGCCCCAGGTACACCCCTTCCCCTGTCCCCA